CCCCCCCCCCCCCCCCCCCCGCACCCCCAGGGCCTCTGAGAGAAGGCAGCTTCATGGAAATGCTAACAAGCCCCACAGGGAAAGGCACACCTGCCCATTTCACTCTGCAGTCCAGGCTCCCCAAGGGCTCCCCAAGAGTTTTTAGCAACAGATCTCGGGTGATGAGTTAGATATGGAGCCCGTGAGCTCTGGGTAAAGCCGGTGAGTTCTTTGTTCTCTAAATCTCACCTGTCTCTGCCCCAGCCCTCATCAGACAGGGATAGTTTAGATTCTTCTGGATGAAAAGAGCCTTCAGAGGTCATCTGTCCATCAGCCTAGAGAGATTCTGAAAGGTCAACTCTGAAAGATCTCTATAGTTACTAAGATCTACAACCTGGCCTGGTAGCCTATCCTAGGGCCCTATAGGGGGGCTTTAACGTGAATTCTTCCTATCGAAGAGGAAGCCTTTTTCCTTGTGTGTGGGCCTCTACTCTTGTCTAATAAGCCTTTTAGCGAAAGCTGGGATTGGAAGGCGTTCTCCCATTTCACAGAGAAGGAAATGGGCACTTGGAGTGAGTGGGCAATTTGACCCATCCAACACAATAAGCCACAAAGCTAGACAAGAATCCATAGGTTCTGACCAAGCCCACGTCTGGTCTTTCATCTCCTTGACCTTCCCGTCTCTCATCTGGAGAAGTATATGGTAGATTGCTACACTAATCAATCACGGTCTCCTGTGTCCATGTCTGTGTGTGATTGCCTCTGACGTCCACTCGAGGCGTGGCCCCGTGACTGCTCTAGCCAGTGGGGCATCAGCAAGGGAGGAAAGCCGAGGCTTGAGAAGGGCCTGTGCACTGGGGACCAGCCTCTTGGAATGCTGCCCTGGTACTGGATGTGGAGAAGCTCCGTGTTGCCTCCTTGAGGATGAAAGACTTCCTGGAGAGGGAGGTCCAGCAGGCCCAGCTTTGTCTGGCCACCCCGCTGACCCACCTGCCGAGTGGAGCCGTGTGAGTCCAGGTAAGACCTGGAGAAGAGCCACAAGCGAACCCATGGAATCCTGAAAGACAAAATGGCTCTTGTTTTCAGCCACCATGTTTTGGAGCGGTTGGTTACACAGCATCAGATAACAGATCCACTATCCGAATTAAATCCTGAAATCCCCATCCTTGGGGGCATCTCACCAACCATAGGTCAACTCTGATGAACACTTCTCGGCACATGTCCCCCGTCCCTCACCATGCTTCTCAAACGCATGATGACCTCTGAACCTTTGCATATGCTGTTTCCTACGCCTAGAACAGTCCCTCCCTGTTTTGTTTAACTTCTATTCATCTTCCAAGGTACAGCGTAATTATCCTTTCTCCCAAAGGTCTTGCCGTGATGCCTTCAGCCAAGGCAAGCCCCCTCTCTTGCAGGTCGGTAACACCTGTGTTTCTTTGTATAACACTCATCAAACCTTTAATCATTTTATCTCATGTCTGTCACCCACACTAGGAGCTCTGCCAGCGTGGGGAGCACTTTTGTATCCTTATTATCTTATTCTTCCCTAGGGCTCAGCAGGTGCTCCATAACGACTTTTTTTCACACGGACAGTAATTGCCTGATTTCCTGTAGTTTTCTGTGACCCTACAGACTCTCGCTATTAATTCTCAGCCCCAGGGCCCTTGCAGGTGATTTCAGTCTGGTACCGTATATAGTGACAGTGACAGTGGATGCCACGATACCCATGAAATTGACTGGATTATCCACCCAGGTTCTTAGAGCAATGGTAAGTGACTTCAGGACTTGGTCCTAGAGCTTTGAGTCAGCTTCATCTGCTTTCCTAAGGGGGCAAGGAAGGACAAGAGGAGCCTAACGTCAGCAGCTGGCAGTGGCTGAGGGCCAACAGAGCACACAGCTCCTGCCCCCAACTGAGTCCAGCGACTGGGTCCTGTCCAGTTTCCCTCCACCTTGACCAAATCAGCTGATCCACTGGAAATCCTTTCCCTAGACATATCCTTGCTTTGCATTTCTCTTTCCAGGCTGAAGCTGACAGTTGATACCTGGGAGCTAACAGGCCCCCTGGTACCACTTACCCTACCTTGGGCTGTTTTTTGGTTTTTGTTTTAAGGAATTTAAAGGTGGTTGGATCGCCCCAAACCTTATCTAGTCTACCTTTCTCCCTTTAGATAGGATGTTCCATTTCCCCTAGTGTCAAGCCCAATTCAACTAATATTTATCAAAGCTTCTTATTCAATGAGATGATGGATGTGAACGGTCAAAAAATATACATGTCTGTTCTTAAAGAACAGATCTAAGACAATGGTTTTTCAAACTTTTTGTTTTTAAAGGCAGCAGAACTCTTTTCCATCTTTATGCCGGATCCCAATATACCAAAGAGAAAAAAACAAGAGTTGTTCTTTGGGAGGGAGAGGTTTACTTCCCCTGTCTCTGTCCCCTTCCCGTGGTGGCTCCTGAGGCAGATCTTGAATACCTCCAGCATCCATGGAGACATGGAGACCCCCTGGTCTGGGAGGTATCACGGCAGCTATTGGCTACCTGCTTTTCATTGGCAGATAGTAAGTCCTTCCTACCGGCTAATCGTGTCTGGCCCCCAGGTGACAGTTGCTTTCATCTTCTCTTGGTCTGTCCTTAGTTGAAAATATAGCTGCTCTCTGGCATAAGCCCACTTTGCTCCAGGGCGCCTGGGTCATGCTCAATGCGGGCTTGCTTGTCTGAGCCATTGGGAGATGCCATGGCCACGCCTGGTGCTGTCTGGCACTGTATAAAACCAGTCCACAGTCACTGGGACAGAACTGGTGGGGTTCACCAGCCCCAAGAGGCCAATGCGGCCTGGACACGGGGGCTACAGTGGGCAGTAGAGAGAGGAACCACAGCTTGGTACAGTCCAGGAGACCTGGTGAAAGAGGGTGGGTTGGGGTGGCGGAGGCAGGGAGCTCCATGGCTTTGTCGGCGTCTGTGGGAAAAAAGACCAAGGAGTCCTGGCTCCCCCTGTCAGCCCTGAAGACTGTTGACTCACCACTTCCCTAGAGGGAGCACATCCACCCTCTCAGGAACCACCTGTCGCGCCTGACGATGTGGCGGGAAGAGCACCAGCAAATGCTTCCCAAGCCCTCTGGGCCCATCCTGCCAGGGGCAGCTCGGGGCAGCTCTGGGACCGGGTAAACGGTCAGCTCCCGCCCAGAACCCTCCACTGCCCGGGCCCCCAAGAGACATGTTCCCAGCAGAAAACATAGTTGTCTAATAGGGAAGCTTCCCTGAGAGATGTTTCTCTTCCTGGATTTTCAACCAGAATGTTCTGCTTAGATCTTTATTGGAGACACCCAAGAAGGGTTCCTGACCTTCCACCTTAGTCTTTCCCCAACGCCCCCACTTGCAGCTGAACTATTTCTTTCCTGACCTGGGGAGGCAGAGGAGGAGAAGTGTGTGAAATGACCGTGTAAGGGTCCTGGCAAAGTCCTCTTGTGCAACCTGAAGTCAGTTGTGGTCTCAGGGACTGGGTGGGAAGCTCAGAAGTGGGGTCTTGTCTAATCTTGCTTTGTCTAATTTGGATGGTAGTTCTTTGAGCTCAATGGTTTTCAACCTTTTCAGTACTGGAAGGAAGGAAGGAAGGAAGGGAAGGAAGGAAAGGAAGGAAAGGAAGGAAAGGAAGGAAAGGAAGGAAGGAAGGAAGGAAGGAAGGAAGGAAGGAAGGAAGGAAGGAAGGAAGGATCTGGAATTCCACTGTATAAAATCAATAAAAGCTGATTTGGGAGCAGGGAGAAGTGGGGAGTGTTTGGTGATGCGAAGAGTGAAAGGCCCAAAGTCTTTACCTCTTACCTTTTTCCTAACCTTCTCCTTCATCCTTGAGGTCCCTTTATAGAATCCCACAAATCACGGTTTGAAAACCACTTTAGGGAGGGGAAGTGGAAAACCATTTGACCCTTCTTGGTTTCTGAGACCCTGAACCCTCACAGTTTTCTACTTCTCGGATCTCTATTTCTGTTGCTCCCTTGAGCCCCAGTCTATGTTCAATATTCTTGTCCTAGTCATCTCCTCCCCCTTTCCCTCCATTCTCTCAAAGAACAAGTTTGCTAACTTGGCTTCCAGACCGCCTCTGTGCAGATGGCTCCTGAGTCTAGCTGTCCAGTCGTAATACCTTGCCTGGTGTCCACACCCCCGTGCTTAGCTGGTTGCCGGATTCATCAATAAGAATGGCCCACTGGCATCTCAGAGGCACCGCATGTCCCAGACTGGAGAACACCGGCAAGAACCCAGGATTTGGACTTGGAATCCAAAGCCCTGGACTTGTAACTTGACTCTGTTTTCCTTAACTGAGTCTCTTTGGATAAACCACTTAGTCCCTCCGAGCCTCAGTTTCCTCACTGCTACCCCCTCCCCAAATGGACATGATAGTACTTCTCCCTTGCAATTAAAACAAGATCATAAACATGGAATTTTGATGAACTATCTTGTGCATTAAAGTCTGCTACTTTTGCTGTGTTCCCCGATGCAACAGAGAGGTCACAGGGAGGGGAAGCTCGTCTCTCCCCTCTCCCTCCCCAGGA